ACTTTCATACATCTTGAGGGATGGAGGAGAGAATAACAGAACACGATTGGGAAGAAAGAATGGCAGCATATCGTGTCAATAATGGACTGGGGTGTTTAGTTGAAGACCAAGTGGAATTTCTATCAATAAGTTAATTGAGTTGTATTCTGGGTAATAAAATAGTACGTGCCATATTTTCTTTTTCCATGAATATTGTCTCGCAAGAAATAAATCACTGAATGAAGAAGGCTTTGCATTCTTAAGTTCTAACTCCACATTTGGAAATTACATCTTGGGTCTGTAGATTTTCATCCCGCATCATAATGAATGTGATTTCCTCTTAAATCTACTGTTAATGATTTAAGACCTTTATCCTGAGAATCTAGCCTCATTTCTTAATAACTGATTCTGTGTCTTCCACCGTGAACTCTGACAAAGCAAGGCTACCGAAGCAGCAGCTTGTAGTGTCATCATCTTCCCAGACAACTTGTATGAATCAGCAGAAGAACATCTGGAAAGGGACCTAAGGGCCCTAGCACAAGTAAAATTAAGGTGATGAGTAAGAAAACAGGCTCAATAACAAAGTAGGAGGAAAAAGCAACAAACAGCTGGTAGAAACTGAATTCAATGACCATAGCATTAAAATATCTAAACAAGCAGACATGCTGGAAAAAATTTTGGGGGGTTACCAGGAGCAAGGAAATGGAACAGATGGAAACAAAGTGGAATGTCTGTTCTGTTTAAATGTTTGTTTTCCTTTTTTCCCACATCTGATTTATTACACAGTTAGAGTAACACACTGATTCTCAGGAACCAAGTCTCAACCACTAAATTGACTAACAGACTTGGCATCCATACGAATCTATTAAAGAAATATGTTTAGCATTGATTGAGGGCCCAGGTACCTGAAAAAAACGGGGTCATTTTTTCCAAAGCCCAGCCAGCCTGTGCATTACTGGTGGAAGAGAAATGGATTTCACAGTGCAAGACAAAGCTGCCACTTGGCTGCATTGATTTCCGATGCCTCACGGAGTTTGTGAAGTAAAATATGCCTTTTGATGGGTGTGAATGACCCTTTGGTGATCAATGGTGGAACGTACCAGGTTCTTTTCCACTGTGTTCACTGTTCGAGTTGAGTAGCACCACCTTAGCCTGGGGTAACTAGCAGCTGCTCCTCACCCCCTCCTCCCAGGAAAGCCAGAAATAAGCCTGCATGCCTCTTATTTCTGAAGGAAAGTCTGATTACAGGACTCTGCTTAGCCGCACTTAAGAAAATGGGCTAAACTTACACCATTAAAACCCTCAGGAGAATTTCATTAGAGTAATAGTAAGAGCTCATCACAAACACACACATGAAAATGACAGTACTTTGCTCTGGCACAGAGTTTACTACCTTGGGGAATAACAGATGGGCTAAGACGGGAGGCATATGTAAAATATTTATGACAGGCAAAATAATTGAGAGAATAAACTCATAAAACAGTAATTTCCTCTACTATATTCAGCAGCACGTACAAAAATGAGAATATTTTTTACATAATAAAATAAAATGCACAGGCAAAAGCTACAGATGGAACAGTAAAGGAGATGCAGAAAAACACAAGTTACAGTTCCCTTTAATCCACTTGGAAGCGGTTAGGGACAAAATAACTGCAGAAAGAGTCTTGGGGAGTCTTTGCTGTTGTGATTCCTGGTAAGAAAACCCTGAATTTGTATTAGCTTCCTTTCAAAGAGTTTAGATGAGTTCTGACATAGGGTGTTCCCTTCAATGTCCCTGTGAAGCGGGTAGATGAATCAAAGTTACTCTGCAAATTTTCATAATGATTATCTCCAGGCGGGGTGGGGGTGGGGTGGGTAGGGGAACATCATTTGAAGCTATAACTTAGGATTTTCCATGCAGTTACCTTTGTAGCCCCTGTACTTATTACCTACCTAGTCAAGATACACTCAATTTTTTTAGACGTTAGGATGCATTGAGCAAGAAAATCTGAAGATCACACTTGAGAACAGCATTACGGCAAACTCCAAAAGTATGGGGAGTATAACCGGAGGTTTCTGATACGATCTTTAAAAGCGCAGGCAGAAAGGGTATCAGAGTGATCCAAGATAGACACAGAGCATGAACATACCAGCCTCTGGTTCTCCTAGACTTACCCCTGTGACATATCATTCCTCTTCAAGCTCTGGAAATGAAAAATCTGCACAGAAATAATAAAACCTGAGCCTGGAAAAGATAAAGAGATTAGTGAAAATGTCAAAGGCACCAGGCTGGCCCTGGGGTGTTCACAGCCTGAGCTCCTTCTCTTCGCAGGGGTGGTTGATGGTCATTGTCACCATGTGGCTTGAGAAGAAAAAAGGCCTACCTGACCCCAGGCAGGGCTACCCATATGCCTCCTATTTGCTGGTCATTTCTTCAGGTGAAAAGATTATATCCTTCTTGAAACTTCCATTGGTTCCCCTGTTCTTTGAAATGCAACAAATTTATATAGCCATTCAGAAAATGTTTATAGAGGTTCAAAGAGGGTGTATTCCATGACCACCAACTGGGATAAAATAATGAAAAAGACAGAGCCCCTGGATACTTCCTGGTCAAGATTATTATAAGACATAAGATGTAACAAACAAACAAAAAAAAGGCAAGAAAAATATTGGTTTTAAAATTAGGTGATGTGACAGAGAATAACTGGTTGGCTATTTGAATTACGTGGCCTGATGACAGCCTTTTACAGGAAGTGATATTTCAGATATAAATGATAAAAAGAAGCAAGACATGTGATGAAGAGAGGGAAGAACATTCCTGGCAGAGGCAGCAGCTATGGCAATGGCCTGACGTTGCCATGATGTGCGTGTTTGAGGACAACAAGCGAAAAATGGGGACAAAACCATGGAATGAGATGAATGCAGAAAGATAGGCATGGTCTGAATCACCCTGGGACATACACACCAGAGCAAGGAAAGCACAGAAGGAAGCCACTGGAGGAGTAGAGGGAGGTGACTAACATTTAAAAATACTCTCACTGCTGTACAGAGAATGTGTGGCAGGGGAGCAAGCGGGGAAACAGAGATACCAGCGGCCCCACTGTTGGAGTAGCCAAAAGCCAGATAATGGCGCCTTGGCCCAAAGTGGTGGATGCAGAGATGAGTAGGCAGACGGGGAAGATTGAGTTGATTCGGCAGGATGATCGAGTTGACATGGGAGGTGGGACAAAGAAGGAAGGAAGCAGAAACGTTAGACTTCTGGTTTGGGTCGCTGACTGGATGGTGAGACCATTCACTGAAGGAAGGAAGACTAAATGGGGACAGGTTAGGGAATCAAGAGTTACTCTGTGGCTGGTTGGTTTTGAGATGTCTATTAAACATCCACATGGGGATGTCAACTTGATATATGGAAAGAGAGAGACTGCAGAAAGAGCACAGAATGTCTGCTAGGTTTCCAGTGAACTGTGATTGAACTGCACCTCACCTTGTTCTTTCTCTTGCCTTACCTAGCTTTGATGAAGCCAGGGTTAGATAAAGTATGAAGAAACTTTACAAGGAATGAAGTAAAACCCTCACATTTGAGATTATCACTATCACTTTCCATCCAGTGTTTATTTGGCATGCACTGTGTTAAAATGTCTTCATTGTGGAAGTTTCAGGAAATGTCAATTATGCCATGTTTTCTCCCAAAGTTATACCTTTCAGTGGGATCATATTGTAAAGAAAATTGAAGCCGATCCTAAAAATGATAAAAGGAAAAATATGTCCAAGAGTTAGCCTGTCACGGACTCTGCTATAACCTGACAGTCACACAGACTGGTCCTTATGGCTTTTCTCACATACCTAGCCAAGTAATCAGTGCAAAACTGAGAAGTTCAAGTTTCCCTAGTTGTGAGGCTGCTGGAAAGACTTCAGTGCCCTAAACATGGTGATTGAGCACATAATCTCAAATTTCATAATTAGTTTCTCCTTTGTGTTTAAAAAAATCCTGTGGAAAAAAAAATGCCCTTTTAGGGGGCAAGAATATTTCCACTGTCAAGCATGAACACTTTAGCAGGGAATTAGCTCATATGATTATTAACCAAGAGGTATGCATTTAAAGAAGAGGCCAGCTGACCGGTTGGTTTGACCTGAGCTGTGGTCAGGTAGCCAAGAGGATCAGTTCATTCTGGTCAAAGCATAGCATCATGGACAGGCTAAGGGATGTCACATAAACAGCTCTAAAGATTCTCTTGGCTACATAGTTGCACATCCTGTGGAGAACGGGGCTCCTTGCTTTTTTGTCCTCATTTGGTAAAAAGACAAAGCTGTATCTAGATTTCTCATAAAAACAAAACCTTCTAAGCGACAAGAGATATGAAGTGTACCTAGGAAAACTAAATGCCGTAAAAAGAATGAATATGCGTACTCATATTGTGCTCACACCCTGACACTATTGTCATTAATGTCATTGACAAGAACATCATCCCTTTGAAATGTCTTCCTTTCTGAGAATTGTTAAGAATCTGAGTTCTTAGCACCCCAGCCCTTGCTAGAGTGTTTCCGCAGAGTTTCTCTACGTGAACAATGAAAGCGCATCAAACCACTCACTACGGCAGTCGAGCTCACAGGTCACTCGTGAGACTACGTGTGAGTCACCCCTGCCCAGAGAGAACAAAAGTAACGAAGGTACTAAAAACCGTAATGAATTTAACAAATGGCAGTGAGCTTTGAATTTTGCACATTGAATTTTAACCAGTTTATAGCTTAGCAAAGCTCATTTTAAATCCACAAGAGACTCCTTTCAACAATGATGGTGCTTATCAACTCTCTCTCCAAGAGGTAGGTCATTAGCGGAGGAATGTGCCAGGATACAAACTCATTTTGAGCAGAACCTAGTTAGAACGTGGGACTACCACAGCATTAAGTCGCTTAGCTTTGTCCAAAGCCAAATTAAAATGGGTTTTGAACTTAATTTTAACTGGTGTCTGAGATCATCCATTCCATTACCTACATGGCTCGCTTGACTGACACTGCATTTTCTGACCTGTTTTGTTTTCCAGCCTCTGCAAGCACGTACGTCCCCACGGTGTGCAATGGGCGGGAAGTTCTCGACGCCACCACCTCATCTCTGTGATTGTGAATTGCAGTTCAGTTTTCGTGTTTTTAGACTGTTAGACACAAGTGCTCACGTGCAGCTCCAGAATATGGAAACAGAGCAAAAGAACCCTAGTACCTTTTTTTTAGAAACAGTACAATAAATTATTTTTGAGGACTGTACAGTATATAGTGATGTGCTAGAACTTTTTAGGCTGATTTTAGTGCCCCTATTATTAACGATTCCCCCAAATGTGGAAATAACCATTGTTTACAGAGCTGAGCATTGGTGACAGGGTCTGACAGGGTCAGTCTAAAAAATATGGTGGCAATATTAGGTAACTTTTTTTCCTATGAAGTTTTTTGTAGGTCCTTGTTGTAACTAATTTAGGATGAGTTTCTATGTTGTATATTAAAGTTACATTATGTGTAACAGATTGTTTTTCTCAGCACAAAATAAAAAGCATCTGTATTAATGTAAAAATATTGAGAATAAAACCTTCAAGGTTTTCCAGCATGGTGGATAACGGCTTATTCTTTTTTAATCGCTCCAAGTAATCTGAATATATTGACTTCAGATTATCTCTGCTTTTAATGTTGGAAATACTTGACTAAGTGTGCTTCTCTTTCCATCTACATATACTTTGAACACAAGCTGTCACCCTGGTAGAGAGTTCTGAGCAAAACTGGACTTCTTCATAGATCACAAAGATCAGATTTTGAGTGACGATACCATAACCATCAGGTTGTTTCAGGGGCCAGATGACAATATCTGTACTGGTTTCTTTAAGCCACATCTGTAGAGCAGCCCAGAATTTGCCCAAATAGCCGTCAGATACAGTGAGGACAGGATTCCTACATTCTGAATGCAGACACTGTGGCCTGCCAGGGAAGGCAGGATGGCTCTCATTTTCAAAAGTACAAAGATGGGAAACTATTCTAATGTAACTATTCTAAACCAACCAGGAAGTTATTAGGAAGGAGGCTGGGATAGCATCCTGTCATGCCAATGGAAAACCATTCTCACCACAGATAGTGAATGGGGCAGTAAAATGCAGGAGCTGGTATTGGCCGGTGTGTTTCCAAAGTCCCAGTAACAATACTCAGGCACACAGGCTTTTCACTCAACTTGAATATTTTACTAAGCTAAATACAGGAGTGAACAGGAAAAGCAAGGATAAAGTAAAACTGGCGTATTCTTACTCACACTTTCCCATTTTTCCTTGTAAACCCTTCAGTCACAAATCGTTTATCCACATAGGAAAATTCACAAAGACCTCATCTTCCTGCCAAGGCCTGTGCCAGACACCGTGAAGACGGAACCTATTTGTTTCCTGGGCTGATTTAACAACTTACCAGAAACAGGATCACTTAAAGCCATAGATCATTATTCTCTCACAGTTCTGGAGGCCAGAAGTCCAGAATTACAGTGTTGGCTGCACCCCACCTGAGGTTCTGGGGAAGAATCCAGTCCGTGCTTCTTGTAGCTTCTAGTGGTTGTCAGCTTCCTTGGCTTGTGACCACATTACTCCAATCTCTGGCTGCATCTTCACATCACAGTCTGTGTGTCTGTCTGCCCCTCTGTGTGTCTCTCAGAATACTTAAATACTTGTCATTGTCCAGGACAAACTCATCTCAATAACCTTCAGTTAACTACATCTGCAAAGGCCCTCTTTCCAAATAAACAGTCCCAGGTTCCAGGGGTGGAGATGTAGACACGCCTTGCGGGGGACCACTCTTAGCCCATGATGGAGAAATGATGTGACGCAGTTCCTACCTTTAAGGAGTTTAAAGACAGGAAACAATTCTATTTTTTTTTTTTTTCTGAGACAACACACATGTGTTTGAGTGGAGGAGGAGCAGAGAGAGGGGGAGAGAGAGAGAGACACAGAGGGAGAAAGAGAGAGAGAGAGACTCCCAAGCAGGCTCCATGCTCCGTGTGGAGCTCGATGCAGGGCTCGAACTCATGAACCTCGAGATCATGACCTGAGCCGAGATCAAGAGTGGGACATTTAACCAACTGAGCCACCCAGGTGCCCCAGGACAGGAAGCAATTCTAATGAAAGAAGTATGACTGAGGACAACAGTGAGAGGAAGAGGATACTCAAAAATAGGAAGGGCCCACCGGTTAAATAACCTGGGCCTGGTTCAGGAGGACATACCAATGCTATTTTTAAAACATCTAGAAATAGTAAGCAGGTACACACAGCCAACAGGACTGGGCTTGAAGGACTTCCTTCAAGTGAGGAGTCAGAGGTCAGAAATTTTCTATTTCCTTCTGAATGCATTTCAATTAGCAACATACTCAATCCATCCAGAAGTCACCCTGCTGCTCAAAGACAACAGTGCAAACCAGTCCCGGAATCGTCATATTCAAAGAAGACCCTGGATTTGGGGGAGTAGGTGAGGAGGATTGGGTAGTAGATTCAATGGGCACGAGATGGCACAAAAGAATCCTGCTGTGGCCAAAACTGGCAGGAGTGCTAGGTAAGCGTGCTCAGAATGAGCATCTGTTCAAGGTAAAAGCTGAGGCAAGGCTGAGGGGAGGGAGAATAAACGCAATCCACTGATGGGATGTGACAGTCTGAGGAAGGCGATATCAGATAGGTTGTTCAGAGACACAGCTGATGCCTAAAACAACAAATTGATCATGGATCTTTTTAAACAAGACAATTAGTCCATGGGTGAATCTTGAGAACACTGTATTTGAAAGCTGGGCTATGATCTCTGGGCCACTGTGATTTTCACACTCCTCCTGCACACTGGAAGTGCAGTCACCTACGGTTCTTGTCGTTTTCTCCTTCCTTGCCATAAGCCTTGTTTCCTATTTGAAAGTGCATCACCTAACATGTGATCCCTGGAAATATTTTTTTAAAAAAAACAATCAAGAGTATGTATGGAAAACAGCAGCTATAAAATCATTTTTACATAAGCCATTTCAAACCAATAGGTTTTGGATTTTTTTTTTTCACTCCAGAAGAACATTTCATCCTTCTAGAATATAAAACTGGTGAGCCGACCCGTCTTTGCAAAACCTTCCTGAATGTGTGGAACCCAGAACGATCTATCCTACTCATTAACACGGCAGGACCTAATGATGAGGGTTTCTACTGTTGGTTTTCTGAGTGTTTACAGTTTCTGAAATGTTCTGTGTCCTCTCTGGTTTAAATATTAATAGAATCTCTTGCCCACTCATGTTCATCACGGTAATATAAAAAGGCCCCGTTTTCACACTGTGGGACAGGCTGGTTGGCAGACCACACAGCAGAAAGATTGAGAGAAAGTCTGAGAAAGGAGGTAGTTCAGCGAGGGTACCTTTACAGTCTTCACCTCCACACTCCCCCTGGGCTAGCCTCAGCTTTCCTCACTTACCTACCATGATAGCTTTGGGCTCCAGAGCTCTTCAGCAAAGGACCATAAGCATGGAGAAGTCAAGCAAGGTGAGGTGCCAGGAAAATAGAATACCAGTGTGGATTATAACCACCACAGCTCTAGTAACAAAGACCCAAACTCCTGAAAAAGGCAATGATCACTTCTGTCCTGTAATAGAAAGATTAGGTTTACAATGCCCACAGATTTAACTCTTTTATTGAACCCAACCAATGGTAATCTGAAGCAGCCATGTGCGATAAAGGAAATACTTTAGAGCCCTGCTCTAAACCAAATCTACCAATATCCACAGGCTATTTTAGATACAGCTTTTCTTCCAAGACTCATTAATAAAATGAGGCAAATTCCAGCAAATTAAAAGCTTTCGTAGGATATTTTGTTCAAGGAAACTGGAGGTCTGTTTCTTGAATCATCAATCATTAAAGGGACCCTAAGTGTCTTTTGCAGCACAGTAAATCTTAAAGTAGGATTTGGTAAATGTGTGTGGACAGAGGTGTGTGCTGCGAGGACACATACAAATGGACCAGGGGACCCTGTCCACGCTAGGGCTCAAGAATCTACGCTGAAGCTACTTTTGTACGTCAAAAGCTCCTACTTGCAGATACTGTGGTTACTTTAAATGGGTCCGTATATAAGACTGAATATTATCTCCAAAACCAGTTACCTTAGCAAAAGCGTTACATCGACGCCGAGAAAAGGCTTTTAAATCAATCTTGCTGGTTGAATCTGAACCAACTCATGTGCTTTAGTTTTATCATTTGCTTATCAATATCCACAACTGAGTTCCAAAACTACAAGAGTAACTGAGAAGAGTAACTGGCTTTGCCTTTGCGCAGGCGATTAAATCATCAAGGGAGGTTGTTGGGTTATTTTCTTTCTGAGTCTCTAAAGACTTGACAAACTCTTGAGGTGGTAAGCTCCTAAAGGGCAAAAACTCTGCATGCAGATTCTTCTGAATAATGTTGCTTATGGGTTGCTGCAATTAAAACCAGTGGTTAGCAAACCATAGCTCAGAGACCAAATCCTAGCCCGGCACCTGTTTTTGTAAGATCTGTGAGCCAAGAATGTTTCTAGGTTTTTACATAACTGAGACAAGAATCAAGAATGTGTCATGACAAGTGAAATATAAATGACACTCAAATTTCTACGTACATAAAGTTTTATTGGAATGCAGCCACACCCATTTGTTGGCATACGGTCTGTGGCTGCTTTCACGCCATAGCAGCAGAGCTGAGGAGCTGCAACAGAGACCACATGTCCTGCAAGGCTGAAAATATTTACTATCTGATTCTTTACAGCAAAATTTGCTGGTCTCTGATCCAGACAATTGCATTAGTGATATCAATTGTAATGGTAGTATCAGTATCAACTGCAATAGTGTTATCAATTTTCAATTATTTGTCCCCGTATCCAAGTTTTTACTTCCTTCATTTATGATCCTAAAATGAACTCATCTTAAAATGTTAAACTAAAAGAAATAAAATCCAGCAAGAATGTCATCTCTGGCCAGTTACTGTGAGGATGAAGTCCATTTTAGCACTCAACAAATGCATCAAGTATTGGGATTTTTTTTTTTTTCCAGTTTACTCCCCTTGGGATCTTTCCTTTAGGACAACCTTAATTTAGGATTTGGTCTTATAAATCTGAGATAGTATTCATGGTTATGACAAACTAGATGTGAGGGTATTTTAACTCCTCTAAAGAAGATCTATTCTACCTAACTTCTGTGTAAAAAAAGATAAATGTGAGCAATACACTGACTTTAAACTTACCAGCTGCAGTCATCTTCCCACCCCAACTTCCAGGAAATTCACTTTCATCGGATGAGAGAAATGATCTGCACATTAGCTTCCCATTAGGAATGACCAGGAAGCATAGGAGGTAGTTCTATTTAGAGATGTCCAATGACAGATGCCCCAGAGGGTCTTGAAGAATCACAGTCAATCATGACCCTCCACCTACGAACCTGGAGACTCCACTTAATAAATGACTGGACCCAAGCAATTCTTCCAGATAAGCATTTAAACCATATTTTCTCCTTGGGAAGAAAATAACCACAAAAGTCTACACAAAAATACTATGAAACATTTTTAATCCTGCAAAGGACTTGATTACTAGCAACCAAAAAGGAGAAAAGTCAACAAGCATAAAATTCAGTCTTTTAAATCAAGTGGACATGTATCAAATTGCTCAACAGTGTTAAATGGCATGATGTAATTTATCCATAGAAGACATGGTCTCATCCAGCAGAAAATTGATTTAAATATGTTTTGACAGAGTGCTAAGAGATATTACAGGCAACCGTAGACTTAACGAAGTATTTAAGGCTTCAAAACCTGGGCCTCTTAGAAAAATAACCTACAACTTCTTCTTCTACCATTTATGAGGGGAAAGAAACAACAAATGTCTATTAAAAGTCACAGAAACATGATTAATTTGTTTATGCCTTTCAACATTCCACTGTGTTCTGCAAAGGCAAGACATAAAACTCCAGTAAATTTTATAGCTAAGATTGGTCTGAATATTTTCCTCGTGATACTCTTTCTGTCACACTTCTTCAGTGCTTGGAATAAAATGACAAATCACTGGGATCCAAAGGGAAAAGGCAGCTCCTTTCCAAAGATGGGGCGAGCTGACAAAATCTATTTTATACCTAAAATTAGAAATAAAATAAATAAATTCTTCAATACCAACTACATTTTCAGAGAGTTCATTAAAATTTAAGGCATTTTTTGACATGTCAGAGATTTTAGTCCAGTGACAGGAGAAGAAAGAAGCTACCTGGGAGCAAATCCCAATTATCTCTATGGCTTGGTACATACACACGTGGAGCACAGCCTAAGATGGAGAGAGGTGACAGGTGACTCTGTGGACCCTCCTGACTCTGTGCAGCCTGAATACATTTGCCGGGGTTCCTCTGAAAAGGGGCATCTCAAATGGATTGCCACTCTTCTGTTTAAATTTGGATCAAGTTGGGGAACGTGTTTCATCAGCACGGTTTACCAGGGAAATGTGAGCAAGGCCAAAATAATTTCTTCTAATAATCTCTTATTTAAAAAAATAAGATTTAAGAAATTGAACATGGAAAAGGTTTATGCTAAGGGACGCCCTCCCTGAATTTCACAACAATAAAATAATGGCAGCCTCATCTCGACTCATGAATCCCACAGCAAAGATGTACACAAAACAAACATTCATTCAACAATAACAGGATGGTCCAGTGTTTTACCCACCGAATAAGCACCATTATTTATTTTTCTCCCATTTTCCACAAAAATAAAGACATTACCTGCTGAATCAAAAATTACAAATCATACCACATTCAAAGACTTGGGGCACACAAACACTGCCCCTGTGGCCTGCCTCTAAGGCAATCACCAGTCTTTTTAGAAATCTAGATTAAGATCTACAAAGATTACTGTTTATTGAAAACAAACCGGAGCACCTTAGATCATCAATGATCAATAAACTCCCCTCTTTCCCAGTTTTGAAACAATTAAAGTTTACACAAAATTAGTCAAATCCAATTTCTTCCAAACTTCTCTCAACAAATAACATTCAAGTCGTGCTAATACTAGAAACCCATCCATCAGAGGAAATATCACGATTACCTGGATCACTTCTGAATAAGAACAACACTTATTTCATAACTACTTATGGTATAACCACATTTTTAGTGTGAATACAATTATATGCAATGGTCCAAAATGGAATTCCTGCCTTATTTGCTCAAAATGAAAAATTTCTATGAAAGTCATAATTCTCAATGTGTTAACAGAAAAATAACCATATACCTTTGCTGATTGATAGACAACAAATATCCCACTGCCATTTTCTGTGAACCGTGAAATTATCCCAATACCTTTTCACAGTTATCTGTACTTATACACAAGCCATCCCCCTTTCTTCTTCATGACTTTGCAAGTGATTTTATAAACAAGCTTTCTCACTCATTTAAAATTATACTTCAAACATTACATAAATGGTTTTAAGCCATTTGATTTCTATGATCGTGTCAGCTTGCTTGTTTTCATGGGAAGTCTGGCTTCTCTTGGCCTTTTTTTTTTTTTTTTTTTTTTTTTTTTTTTTTTTTATTTTTTAGTCTTCCTTCAACACCTTCATTCAAGCCCTTCTTACCAGTTCCAACAAGGATGAAATTTCAAAGGCAAATGGAAGTGTAGAAAACCCGAACACGTGTTTACATGTTTACTCTTCCTAAAAAGTTACTTACTCAGGCTTCTGAAATCAAGAAAGACCCTACGAAAAAATGAAAAACTTACTGTCTTTCTTTGTTCATGATTTTTTAATAGAAAAGGTGTTTTAAGGTATGTCAGGAAAATAAATAATGGGAAAAAAAAAACTCTACCTTAAGATTTTTTCAAATCTTCCCCAAAGAAAAGACATAAATGGGATCACAATGCATACGTTCAAATCTGCCCTCCAAAGCATACTTTTTATGTAGAAGTTATAAAGAATAAAAGTTACCCATTAATTATATGGCATGCATCAGCAGTGCACTGGTGGGCTTAACCTTGGTTTCCAGTTATGTCTATTTACAGATAAATCTCTTCCTGAGTGGAGCTTCATCTTCAGTTGAGACCCAAACCATTTGCTTTCCTATTTTTGGCAAGATACTTGACCATGTGATAAGGCAATCAAACATTTCAACCTCCTTCCCTTTTCAGCGGCATGGCCCTCCTCTGTGAGATCACCAATGTGCCGGATATGAGGACAGGATCTAAACTACGGTCCTCTGAAACTAGAGATCAGCTTTCTTTGTTCCTTAGTCTGAAGGCTACGGCACTGTCTTTTCATATATTTGGGGATCTTGAGGATTTCAGTTGAACAGATTCAAAATGGTCTTCTTTTTCCTATGAAGAAAAAAAAACAAAATCAACTCACATTCCAGTAAGATTTTAGGATCTTATGGGTCCAGAAGGAAAGTTCTGGATATCATTTCAATCAATATACCTGCCAGTTGTAATTAGGATTTTACAGGAAGTGGCAGATATAAAACAAATAGCATGCCTACCCTAAAGGATGCTTTTGATGTCCAGGAGATAAGACAGACAAACCAAAATAGAAGCAAACACATTACTGCAATAGATAGAAAAAGATGTAGCTGTGTTTTTTGTGAAGAAACCACTGAGACCCTTCCCAAAGGGATATCTGACCTCTGTGCCAAAATAGATGACCCTGACATGTGAATTTTTTACAAAAGAGAACTAACATAAACTACGTATTCTCAAGATAATATAGGATAAATGGAAGAAGACGGACAGCAGAAATAAATGAGGACAGCACCAATAAGACATAAGATCGTTAGGATTCACTGATACGTTTTAGGAAAATCTTTTGGGCATATACTTACTAAAGATATTAAAAACAAGTCATCAGGTAATGTCAATAGTTTAACTCAAATCCATCATTGCTGGCTTGTGTTATGTATTACATTCAAACTGTAGCCTATTAAAATAAGTAATCCTTGGGGCACGTGGGTGGCTCAGCTGGTTGAGTGTTTGACTCTTGATTTCTGCTCAGGTCATGATCTCACACTTCATGAGTTTGAGCCCTGAGTTGGGCTCTGCACTGATAGTACAGAGCCTGCTTGGGATTCTCTCTCTCAAAATAAATAAACTTAAACAAATTTTTAAGTGAATCTTTAACGGGGAAAAAGAGAATTAAGAGAAGAGATTTCTCACGTTAGAAAAAAACTTTCTGAATTCTACTGGAATGCAATGGGGTGACTATGCTTTCAAAGAGGATAGAGATGAAGGAAACTAGCATTATTTTTTTTTTTAATTTTTTTTTTCAACGTTTATTTATTTTTGGGACAGAGAGAGACAGAACATGAATGGGGGAGGGGCAGAGAGAGAGGGAGACACAGAATCGGAAACAGGCTCCAGGCTCTGAGCCATCAGCCCAGAGCCCGACGCGGGGCTCGAACTCCCTGACCGTGAGATCGTGACCTGGCTGAAGTCGGACGCTTAACCGACTGCGCCACCCAGGCTCCCCACATTATTTTTAAAGTAAAGGAAATAGGAGGCATACCAGTCCTAGGTGCAAACAGATGTGTGTCTGAAGTAGAGAAGTCAAATGAGACAATAAAAGTGAGTAGACACTGGGTGCCTGCCAGAAAGAATAAGGCTGCTTTTGTGCTTTCTCTCATTTGAGTGAAGTCCAAGACTTCAGACAAGCTTTAGGGCTAGAGGGAAAGGATTATAGGAAAAATGTCACCACATGAACACCAACCTATCACTTATCCCTGCCCATGCTGAGATGACATGGCCCTGGGAGGGCAGGATGTACATCTCCTCAGTGCTCTCTGCGGCCCTGAAGAAGCTTGCCTGAAGCCTCCTGTTGACAGGACTTCATTTTATTGAAATAACCACTGATGATTCAAATGTTTATTAAGCACCAATGCACTGCAAGAGCACGACTAGACTTCAGGGATACAAAATGTCTGTCCTCAAGGAGCCTACAGTGCATCATGGGAAAGAGCTTTAGGGTGTCAGCAATAAACTTAAAAGGAAATCCAAGATATTTATGGCCTTTCCTGGAGACAATTTGATTCAATATGTTCCTGAGGGGGAAAGAGGAAGAGGCCTGCTGGTGATCCTCAAGGCGTCACTTGAAATAAAACACTGAAAACACTTTATAGAATCATGTTAGCTTCATACAGCTTTAGATGCCATGTCCTCTGTGTTCCCATGGGATTTTGCTCCTATTGGTGAGATGGTGGGGTATATGCATCCAAACACATCCGCGTGTGTGTGGAGTCAGCACCACTACCTGAGACTTACGGATGGCAGAATTGCAGATTATTCATTTTTTTTAATTCCCAAAACATGACTCCAGGCCTACCCCATGGTAGGCTGTCAATCAGTGGTTATAAATATGTACTGAAATGCTACATTTCAGAAGGAAAAACACTGGACTTGAACTAGCAGATAGGGTTTTTAATTCCTACCTAACCCTCCCTTGGACAAATAAGGAAAAGTCTCTAGATATCAGTTTACTCATGCATTAAATAAAGATGCCATACACATGATTTTTTTTAAGTTCTGAATTCAAGAATTTACTCAAAAGTCAACTTCCAGAAGCTTCTCCTTACCTCATCACTACCCATTTTACTGCATTCCCTTCTCCTGTGTTCTCCACAAGACTCTAACTCAATGCTCTTATCATACTGGATGATCATTGTGTGGGTGTGTCTGTGTGTATGTGTAAAATGTGCATGTGTCCTGCACTAATAAACTAGATAGTCTCTGACGTATCACCAAAACCGGGCAGAGTGTCTAACAGACAATGTTCCATGAATGATGGTGGAATGAAAAAATAAAAGAAAAAAGTTGAAAAAAATTCCTGAAGATATATTTTTAAAGTTGCTGAGGAAAGTCAAGAAAAGTCAATCTATAGATAAAACCTGACAAGTCCAGTGTATTGGTAGGAAAATACCAAATAAGGTCTGGCCTTTAGGACATGAATAAGAATATATAAGATAAAGCAAATCTTAAATGACATGAAGACAGTTAAGAAACTTACAGCCATTTTTACTCTACAAAGCCAAGCATAAAAAAAAAAAAAAATGTAAAGGACACACTATTAAGATTTGTCCAATGGTATACATAGCAGTTTTATTCAGAGCTAGATACTGGAAATGGCACAAGTATTCATCAATAGGAGAATGGGTAAACAAATTTTGGCATATCCATCTCATTGAATACTACTCCTGGATAAAAATGAATCTATTACTGATAAACAGAGGGTAGATAAATCTCAAAAACATTTGTCTGAGTGAAAGAAAACTTACACAAAATACTACACACTGTGTAATTACAATTACACGAAGTTCTAAAACAGATAAAACGAATCTACAGTTTAAAAAGATTACTTCAGTGGTTTCCTCTGGGGGGATAAGGATAAGGATCAGTTGCATGCAAAAGGACGTGAGTCAGCTTTCAGTGGTGAGGCTAACATCTTATTTCTTGATAGGATTTGGGGTGACACAGCATATACACTTCTCAAAATTCATCAGATTGCATCCTTGTTATGTGGGCATTTCACTCTATGTAAACACTGTCCCTTAGAAAAAACTGAAAATATTTAATTCTCTCATCAGTTATATGTATCCTGAAGTGTTTAGGCATGAAACGTATTGAATTCTATAGCTTACTTTGAAATTCATCAAAAAAAAATATGTATTGATAAATGAAAGAGGGATAGAGATTTAGAAAGATAGGTAATAAATCAGATGTAAAATTTAGGTGGTGGGTATATGACTGTACCACTGTATAATTCTTTCAGCTTTCCCATAACATTTTAAATTTTCATTTAAACAATTTTTAAATTATTCTGTCAATTAGAATTGCTATGCAAAACAGAATTAGGTGCACTGAGCCTTCTCAGGGAGAAAGACTTTATCTTCCACTACGTTTCCTGTGATTGTTTTCAGGTGCCTTTCAAGATTTCAATTCTCTGGCCATATAACAACAACAAAGGAGGTCCTGCAATATGAGGAGACACTTAAAAGTTTACTAATACTTGTAATTCCCTCTTTTTCTTTTGCATTCAGCTTAGAGGTCACTCTGTCCTAAAAATCTTGCCTGGCACTAAATGCTTCCTCCATTATAAGACAATGCCCTTACAAATAAGGAATCACAAGATCAAATCAGGCAAGAGAAGTTTAAGTAAACTAATGATGGTGGTAATTCTCCATGGGTCTCCTGTGTTTCTGAATGCTTGGGAGGAATATGTTCAATGTCCGTTATGGTACACAATCTTCGCAAATATGCTTATATTACAAAAAGCCTTGGATGACATAGGTAAAGTCTTCTTCTAGAACAAAAGAATAGTTTGCCTACAGCTCTCATACTGTCCCTCTCTGTGTAGCAAATGGCAGACATGCTTCCTGACTGTTATAAAACATTCAGATTCCCCAAGCTAAGGGCTCCTTTTCTATAACATAACCCACTGTGTGTCATCTAGTCTGCTTCACTCTGTAGTAACTGGGGCTTTGAGGAAACAAAGTAAACACTGTTGTTTTGACTACTGCTATTGCTGCAAGTAATAAACTTGTTTTGTCTCTGACCCAGCAGACTCCTGTCTTCAAAATGTCCAAGAAAGAATGGCTGGCTAATTTGTTGGCTAGCAAGTATAGTGCGGTTTCAGAACCTTGATAGTTCTTCACTGTTTTGCTGATGAGGATGGAAAATTGACAGAAAGGTATCTTTCTGGTTGACCAAATTATATGCTCAACAAGGTAATAAAATTGTCGTCCACTTCACTGCCTACAAATGAAAAGGAATTGAGGAAGTAGTTGTAGACTGAGTTCTGGGAAGTGGTTCCAAAATTTCACGGGTCAGCTGTCTGAATGGTGGCCTAGATGTTGTTAACACTCTTCTGAGAAGGAGGATTTCCTCACCAATCAGGCCATCAGCTGCAGCTGTGTTCCTTGCTAACAAATAATACTAAAATTCATTGTTATAGGAAAAGGTTTCACCCCTTTCACACAGAGGTTACAGAGATATGTACCTACGATGACCATTAAAGAAAAAAATGGAACCTACTTAAGGGCAGAAACTAGGTGACTTGTTAGAATTTTTGCTGATTCTCTTTGGAGATGATGTGGCAGGAATAGATGATCATTAAGAATGCACCCAGCTGGGGCACCTGGGTGGCTCAGTCAGTTGAGTGTCTTTGACTTAGGCTCCGGTCATGATCTCCCAGCTCGTGGGTTTGAGCCCCGCGTCGGGCTCTGTGGTGACAGTTTGGAGCCTGGAGCCTGCTTCAGATTCTGTGTCTCCTTTTCTGCCCTACCCCCACTCATGCTCACTCTCTCTCTCTCTCTTTCTCAAAACTAAATAAATTT